GACTCAACAAATACTATTTTATGTCAATTATGGTTATCATCTCAAAGTTGATTTGTTAATTATATCAAAAGATGAAAACCTAACAACAAAAGATCTTACAAATAAAATTGTTATAGCTCCATACAACTTTAAAGCTCCATTTATAACACCTCAAGATTCTTAAAAAATATCTTCATATAAATTTAGAAATGAATTCTTTACTTTTTAAGTTAAAAATAAAATATGACTTCTTTGATAATATATTAAGATCAATCAACCTTGCAATAAGTTGAAATACCAAAGACTAGGGCCATTTTGTATTCAAAAGCAAATCAATCCAATGGCTTATTAGTTAGAAATGCCCACATCCATAAATTTACATCTAATCTTTTATGTTTCTCTCTTAAAGGCTTATTCAAAATCAATTATTACAACAAGAATACAACCATCACCACCTTATATTAAAATAGATAATCATGTAGAATATTACGTAAAATAATTATTTTATTTTTGAAAAAGAAAAAATAATTTAAAATATTTTATTCATAATATTAATGAATATACATAGAAATTAGCAAAAAATCTAATTAATGTGCTGCCAAAGGTACAAAAGTTTCATTGATGCTATCTTCAAAAATCTAAACCTATTTTAGAATGAATTTTCTATAAAGCTATTACTTGGATGTTGTATAGAATGAAGAGAGCAAGTATTATTCACAACAATCTTATAATTTAATATATTTATTTTATAATCTAATATATGAAATTAAAAAATATTTAGAGAGTCTTTAGATCATGAATCTCAAATTAGAATTAGAATTAGAATTGAAGCTTTTCATATCACTACCACTACATCAACCATTCTAGCTCTTACAACCTTTGCAAGATCATCTTCAAGATGAAACTAGATCTTCTTAAGAGAGGAAATATCTACACTACAGTCAACTCAAACAAGTAAACCTTGAAGATAATGCTTAAACTTTGATCATTCTATTGCAAACATGAAATTAATGCTCCTTATTGAACTTGAAGTTAAAAGAGGAAGTGATGTTGTAGACATCTAACAAGAAGATTTTAGAAATATTTTTAGAATATTTCATCAAATTCTAAAAGATTTTTAAAAGATTTTTAAACGGTTTTAAAAGGTTTTAGAAGGCTTTTCTAATATTCCAACAAGTTTTTAAAAATTCTAAGAGAATTGAGAAAGTTATCTAAAAAGCTTCCTAAGATTTCTTTGTCTTTAAGCAATATGAGAACTTCTCAAGAAGCTTCTTAATATCTAGTATATATTTGAGTCAAAGCTAAAAGAATCCTCAATCTTGCCAATACATTTTTTGGAGCTTTAATTCATCTTTCTTGATATTAATTTTATACTTATCTAATTTAGTCAAGTTCTTATTAGCTTTCTTATAGAAAATTCTTTTATTTAACATCTTATTTGATCTCTTGTATAGTGTATTCATGATAGAAATGGCCACATCTTTCAAGACAATATTATAAGGCCACAGATTCTCAAAAATAATATTTTTTTCTTTAAATTGATTGTGAGACACAATGTATTTGATATAAAATTTTTGAAAAACCTCTAGGTATTTGGTAATATTATTGGATGTAGAAACCACTCTTGATTGTCTTTAAAATATTATATTTGAAAGAAGTTATTAAAGCCTTAATAGTGATTAAATATCAAGGTGGTCTTCTTGTTTTGATATGGAATACTATCAATGCCTAAAAAGTTCTATCAACTACATTTAAAGTAAATAAAAATTAAAATATATAGCAAGTACAATTTTATTGCATCTTTGAGTCCTTTGATATGTTATCATTACTTCTTATGGAACTCATCTCTAAACAAAGGAGATAATATCATTGAAATATATAATTACTCAGATAAAAAGTATTATACAAAAAGTAAATATATGTAGATTTGATATTATCTTTTTAAATATCTTCTTAGAAGCTCTATATATACAAATTTGACTTTTTATATATTTGTAGTTATTTAATAGATTAAAAATTTAGTCAACAAGTTGTCCATATGTCGCACATGTTAGCAACTTAGGGTATAAGTTGGCTATATAATGCATATATAGAAACTTTTTTTGCAAGTTAGATACATGTCATAGGTCTTATATAATGTTTCTACATAAGTTTTAGTTAGGTAGTATATATAGAAGCAAGAGTGAAGCATTTTTTACTCTTGTAAATGCCATTCTTGTTTATAATCTTTTTTCAAGAGCCTCTAGTCTTGTTATCTTTGATAATAACTATTCTAGTTTTAATATTATATTGTCTTTGAGTAATTTTTTATTCTTTTTGAGTAGTAAAATTGTATATTAATCTTAAAATTATTTGTGATTTACATCTTTAAAAAAAGGTTGGAATAGATATTATAGTAATGGTGAGTTTTATAATAGATTAGAGATGTTTTATCTTATTTTTGAATTTATTGTGTTCCCTTTTATATGGCCAATCAAAACTCTATTTTATTTTTTTGCATTAAGCTCAAGATATTTTATTTAATAGATTGTAGAGGTTATTACAGGCATTAAAACTATTTTTTGATTTTATGTATTGACTATTTTTAAAATAATTTATTAAATATATAGTATATTTGGCAATACCAAGTTTTTTACTGTCAACAAACAATCTTTGCAATAAGATACTTATACCAAAGCAATTGTATATAGATTTAGAATCAAGAATAATACTTATACTAGTTATTTCTACCAAATATAGTCTAATCTAAAAATGATATTTTATGAACAAAGATTGAACTTATTTCTAATTTTCAATAAGGAAATAAATATATTTTTTTGTAAGAAATTTTGAAAGACAGTCAATATTATAAAATTATTAAAACTTTTTATTATTAAATCTGATTTCTTTCTTTATTTTGAAGGAATTGATCCTAATTCTGTGGATGGAAATGCAAATTTTTTGTTTTCAAAAGTATTTTCTATGCCATTTAAAGGCTAATAAAAAAATCAATTATTGATTTGATTAGATTTTTTTGCAAACTTCAATTGTTAAATTTTGTAAAACTTTTACAATCAAAACAATTCTGCAGCCTGGTATACACTTCCTCATGTCTTTGTTATTGGCTACTTGCTGGAGTATCATATGATGTATTTGTAATATTTTGCATTAAAATTTCCTTAACCAATAATTATTATGTATTTCACATATATTTATTAATAACATACAATACTTGCATGTCTTCTGTAATTTGATTTAATACATTATTTAATTATAACATGATGTAAATACTCGTTATTCATTTAATCTGCATAAATTCAACAACTTTATTATGTTTGACTTTTTACACTTCTAGTAAAATTAAAAGTAGCTAATTAATTATATGAATAAAAAGTAGAAAATAAAATAAATTTCAAAGGATAATATTATGTAATGATGTAAAACGGAATTTCTATATGTATTTTTTTTAAATAAAGAACTACATCGTCATATGAAGATATCATGATTAAAAATGACTTTTATTTTTTGTATTTTAAATAAAACCTTAAAGATCTAACATTCCAAAGCATAAAAAATTGAAGTACTAAATCAATCTCGTAACCCATAAAAATAATTTAAAAAATAATAATAGTAATATCAGAGACATCAGAGAAAGAAATTTAAGGATATGAGAATTTGGAATCCAATTAGAATAGAAGAGTTTGATCCATGGAAACGCGAAGGGAGAAATGCTGTAATTGGAATGAGGGCAGATCCTGGTGGATGTACAGGGGATGAACGAAGAATGTACATAATTCAGATTTGGATGAACAAAGGATGGACGTCGATGGAGAGGGAGAAGGGATTGAAATTGCAAGAGTGCCAGAGGTGCCCGTGCCTGGTCCCCGCACTGTCTACCGTCTCGTGCCGTGCCGTGCCGTTGCTGAGGCTGGGCTGGCATGGCGAAAGGGGGGGGGGGTGTGCTGTGGGGATGGAGTTAGGGCTTCTCACTTCCCCGCTCCGCACCGTGCCCTGCCGTGCCGTCCCTTGCTCTTGCGTCGTCTCTCAGCCTCGATTTGGGCCCCACTCCCACTCCCACTAACCCTCCCTCGCTCACTCACCGCACCGTCCCATCGTATTCCCTCCCGCTTCGTATCCTCCTCCCTCCCCCGTCCTCCTCGTCCTGGTCAAGCTGGTGCTGGTGCTGCACGACGTATCCGCACGCATCTCCAACACCTCTTTCCCTGCACTGCACTCCTTCGCTGGACTAGATCTACACAATTGCGTGCATGATTCTGGTACTAACCTGGGTTCTCCTTTGGCTGCTTACTTGCTTGGGGTTATTTTATTCTGTTTTTTTCGAATTTGAATAATGGATTTGTAGATTTGCTTGTTTTACATTATTATTATTTCGAAATTCAGAGTTGGGGTTGATATTGCGGATACTAGTGCCCAGGAGAGCGTGGTCGGTGCTTAGGTTCTCTGATGAGGCTGCATTTTGTGCTTTAGAACCTTGGCTAGGTTTTTGAAGGTTTCGAGGCTTCTTAGCTCTGTGTACCTCCGCGGAAGCAAATCTAGCAAGGGATGTTTCTGGCTGCACTTTTCGCGAGTCAATCATACTAGATTGCAGTAAGAGAATGCAGCTGGAAGTACTATGCGAAAATTGTGTTCCTGCCGGACTGCATGTTTCTACTCCTGGTTTTAGGAATGGTTAGCACGGATGAGTTTAAGATCCTGAATGAGGAGAAGCAAGTATGATCGCTCTGAATGTGGGTGAACTACTAGATGCACAGTAGGATAGCTACACGCTTCATTCGCAACGCGAAACCTAAAGATTGGAACTTGAATATAAGAATCAGGAAGTTAGTCGTACAATTATAGTCACGAGATTCGTCAATCGCTTGTTGCAATGACAGTTTTACGTGGTAGTATTCGTTAGAACCGATGACTGTGTACAGTTGACGTTTCTGATTCATGAAAGTCAATAGAATTTGCAGGAGTTACACGTCAAGTTTATTTATTGTAGCAACTGAAATCATGTAAGTTCAAATTTCGTCCCTGAAGATCAAAACCCCTCATATTTGGGTGGAATTGACTAGTTTGGAATTTGCCATCATGTTACTGTCGAATTGTATTGTGATCTCACTGTCGAATCTTCTAGTTTTGTGTTGGCTTCCTTTTTTTTTCTTTTCCTTTTTTTCTGTTTTTTTTGAAACTTAAAGCTGTAGCACCTGCCGTGTTTGAATATTTTAGCAACCTTGTTCGTACAGAGTGTAAAGTTCCGGAATTCCTTCTTGTGTCTATGGGTTAGTGAAATTGCCCTTTGGTTTTTGAACTTGAGTCATATGCCGAGAGTGTGGTCGCTGGTCTTGGCGACTCCAATACCAATGCTGGGGCAGTTCGGACAAACAACCCTGCCCCTGACAGTGAAGCTTTGTTTTATGCTGCAATCACATTAATTAGCATAGGCAGTAACGGGTATGTTTATCTATCATGCACATTACGATACGTCTACTTCTTAAGGTCATATGGATCCTTTTATGTATTCATAATTCACAGTCGAGTTTGCATCCCCCACCCTTAAATTATCACAGGCATTGTATCCTTGAGACAGAGAGGAGTTGCATAATGGACAGGGCAGTAATACTGTAAAAAATTAAGCTGTGGTAGAGTATCAATCCGTCACTTTATACAAAGCTGATGTTTGCAGAATTGGATGCTTTTAACTATAAGAATATATTTTTACATTTGTTTCTTGAATAAAGTCTCGCAGGTAGCAGTTCGAATATTTGATAGGTACATCGGTGTAGGGTTGAGTTCATTACCACCTTCCCTCAGCAGGTTACATGGTATAATTCGCAACCTCCTATTTTTGCAACTTTCATTTTTTAATGTTATTTCTGAAAACATTCCACCTGTAACAAGAATTTTTTCCGACCTTCCCAGTCAGTGGACATAGACGTCTTGACCTTTTTGATTTATACAATTTTTTTATGACGCTAACTTCAACAGGTTTTGAGAGGAATAGCTTTGGTTACCATGTCGATGATGGCAATACGGCCACTAGTTGGTAGGTCCCTTGTTACTTCTGTAATGCTTGACTTGGTAAACTTCAACTTAAATCAATTCTGAAGAACTAAGTGCTTTAAATTGTAGTTATCATGTGATGTGCATTCTAGATTTTATGCAGTGCGAAACGATCATTTTCACTCTTTAAGTATTAGCAGGATTTATGTTGATTCATAACCTGTTCTGCTGTATGTTTAAGTGCCAAGCAGAAAAAGGGTCAGATTCAATTTAAATATAAAAGTAGTTTCTGTCTTTTTCACGTAGCTTTTACGTTTCCACATTTCCATACGGCGATGCAATCTTTTTCTCTAATACTGTTCGTTCTCTCGTGAATGTGTTTATCTGCATGAAAACTGTTTGTTCATGGGTTCCCTTGACGTTGGCTCTGCTTTTTTACTTTTTATTTTTTATTTATTTTGCAGATGGAGAACACAACATCTTATACTAAGAATGGCGCCAATCTAGGAGTTGTCTTTAAGGATGTGGAAGGTGATTTTGTTTAAGTTTATTCATGCTTTTGTTTTCTATTTTCTTTGTATTTGTCTTCTTTCTATTAAGACGTTTCTCAGGCGCACATTTCAAGTAAAACATAACGATGTAATTTTGTGTCTAATGCTGTGTGGTTTTAATTTTGTACCCAACTGTAGGATTAATTACACCTGGTGAGAAAGTGGAAGCCAATTTTGGTTTTACACCATTTACGTTTGACCTTGAAGATCGCAGAAGGTAAAGATTTTTGGATGCTGTTTTAAGGGCTCTGTTTTTGCGCAGATGTCCTTTCCTTATCGACTAACTTGGTCTGGCCGTGATTGCATTGTTATGTCAACAGGCTCCTGAAATGAAGACATTGTGGACCATTGATGGCATTGAAATACCTGATAAGAATCCTTGTCTTCACTCGTTGGTGGGCTTTTTATCCGAAGCTTTTAGAATTTTGGATCGTCTTTGAATATCTATGAAGTCGTGATTGTGGATTTAATATTTGTGTGCATGCTTGTAACAGGTTATTGCTTATCTTATGCATTATGGATATAGTGAAACAGCTACTGCATTGATTAGGGAATCTGCTCTTGAGGGCAATGTCATCTCTGCAAAGGAAGCGGAGAGTATGCTACTTCGAAGTAGTACGTTTCGAAATTCTTTCTGAATATTTTTAGAACTTCTATTAATTATTCAAATTTCACAGAATGTCTTTCATTGATTTGTCTCGCCTCGGTCTTAACATGTCTCGAAAATAAATTGAAATTTTCATATGGAGATGTTCTTTATTAGAAGTTCGATAGCCATTATTGTTTAAGTTGCTCATCGTGACCCAAAATTGTCCTCATTTATTTGAGTTTTTTGACAGTAACGACTATTTCTCAAATGTTGCCAGAAATTCAGGAGGCAGTCATGGATGGGCATATTGACGAGGTGAGGTGCTGTCCAAGTCGTACGAGGGTTAAGTTTGTTTGAATGTGATAGGATGTAGTGGATAAATCATTCAGTGACGTACAAACAAAAATTGTTGATTGCAAGTCATAGATCACATCTGTATAGTTTCATCTACAATCAGAATCAACAATATTTTAAAAAGAATTCCTCTGCACTCGCTTCTGCATTTGATAGGAAATGTACTATTGGTGAATGCAGGCAATTGAACAAACAAATTGCGTTGCACCTGAGGTATTGTAGCGATGTGTACCTATTTTAAGCTCATGGTCTATCCTTTGAAGCTCGTGACATTACCCGATAGTTACCCTCCATCACCGAGTATCTTGTTTGTTGTTGCGGAGAAATCTTTGATACCCCGTGCTCTGCTTTAATGTCAAATAATAAGAGAACGCGAAGGAAATGTTGCAACTTCCTCTTTGTAAGGTTTACCTGTCTGCTCTTTCACCGTCCGAAAGTAAGTGAAGTTGGTTTATTAGAATTGTTCTGTTCTCGTATTGACTACCATTTTCTTTTCTCAAATTGCCATGGCTTTGGATTGTATCTGGATTTATAGGTCTTTATGTCTCAGCCATCAGTGCTCTTTCATTTGAAGTGCCAGAAGTTTATTGAGATGGTATGTCAACTTCACATCAGTCTACATGCTCAACCCTTCCAACCTCATCCATGTCCTTGACAATATTGTTTCATAGTCGAAAAATTTAAAGCAACTTCAGACTGCTTTTGTACTTCGCATAGAGAATTCAACCAATGCTGCATAGTACAATTCTTATCTTTTTAGAAATCGTTCGTAACTGAAATTAATGAGATGCATGATTAACTGTTGGTTATGATGATCAGAACCCTGTCATAAGGTAGGCGTCATCTGTCACACTTCTTGCTTTCATTATTCAATTAATGCAGTCTTTCTGTTCATACTAGTCTATAGTATTTCTTGTGTATATTTGTTTCTTTCAGATTAGAAGTGGTGACGATGAAGCAACTATGACCTTTGGTCGCACTGAACTTTCTGAGTTCGATGCTGAATCTGAAGAGGATAGACAACACTATCGGGTATGTAGTACTTTTCTGTGCAAGTGTATCATATGATGCTTGACATTTTGAAGAAAATTCATCTTCTTGTATTTAAGTCGTAACCCACTTTATTTTTCGAAAAACAGGAAGTCATTTCATTACTGGCTTATCCGCGCCCAGAAAGTAGCCCTTTGAGGCATTTGATTCTGCCCTCTCGGCGACAGTCAGTTGCAGAATCTTTAAATCAAGCTATCTTGAGTAGGTAACACTAAACCTTGCCCTGCATTTGAGAGGTCGATTACGTTATAGTATCTTCCTGGGCCTTCATCACTTAAACCTGGGGAACACCAGAGTGTTAGACAAGTGTGCGTGACATCTGGTGATTTCATGTTCGATGAACAGTTTCTCAGGACAAGCCTGCACTGCCTGCACTCGAGGTATGTACCTTTCAGAAAGTTAACGCTAGATTATTAAGTACTTTTAGTATATTTCAGACAGTAATTTACTTCATCGCTATAATTTGGTAGTAGATTATTCCCCTTTATAAATATTGCTTCTTATTCCAATTGTAGTCTTGTAACTGTGTTAAGAAAGGGCATGCTCCATGAGTTGAAGCTCGAATCCCATGTGCAGATGTTGCATAAACAAATTGTAGTAACCAAAGAAGTACTTTCACAACGGTCACCTGGTTCAGCTTCAATGGTAAGGATGCATTCCTTACGTGTATGTATTGTTTGTGACCAATGACTTTTAAATATACCCTGCAAGATTTGCTATGTTTACTTGTTAGGTGTTTTGTAGTCAAAAACATGGTTTTTAATTAATAACAAACATCTTAAGTCCTCATTGTGATCTACTTGTTTACTCGTAATGTCTAGATTAACGCCTACGAGGAGTTTCATGGACTTTCAGATGTATTAAGTGGGTGATGCCCAGAAAATCCTTAAAGCGTTGAAGATAAGGGATGGGGATGCGCTGTCGCATTTTCACAACAGAAGCTCCTGGGTGAATACGATCACGATATGAGAGGTGCAGACATAAAGCTGTTGTGCAATACTGGTAGAAGTTGTGCTACAGCCATCCCATATGATGTATTTTAGTGTAGACTTTTTTACCTTGCCTCGACAGACATTGCACAAATCACCCTACAACTACGCCTTGATTTCCAATGGCGTGTACATGTCATGTCTACAGCTTACTTCTCGAGAAGTATGTGTTTACAGTGTAACCAAAGCTCTAAAAACAATAGAAGTTGGGTTCCCACTAAGAATAGTTTTTTTCTGTTTGTCCGGTCAAATCCGCCGCTTTATTGCTAACCGCAGTGAAGGCTTACATAATTCGCTGTCGCTTGGAGCGTTGTGGCACCTCCCATTTCTGTGCAGTAAATCAAGCAAATCTATATTCATTACATGCATGGTATGAAGGCACATATTTATCACTTTTGGTATTGTATTGGCGACATTGTTAAGTAGGTTATGGTCACCAGTGTTACAAAACCAAGGGTGCTCCATTCACGAGACACTATTCCCAATGGTGGACTCTCAATTGGTAGCACCCGATACTAAAGTATTTCTAGTACACTTTAATTGTGAATAAGCTCTATACAAATCGGATTTTGATACACAAACCAGACGACTTGGCACTCACATATTAGTGTTTTAATCGTGCTCTGGAACTCCCAAGAGATTCTGTGAAAAGTTCAACACGTATCTACGTTCATCGAAACTGCACTAATCTCGACGACCTAAACAGAGTGTACGATTCGGAAATTATCGTAAGTACTGACTTCAAATCGCAAGCGGAGATGCCATGACAGAAGAGGCCAGAAGATCGACAAAGGATAATCGAAGATGGACGGCTACGATGGGACGGGAGGAGGTGCTACGGCCAAAGCCTTGCAGCCTAAACCCTAAACCCGAATTCGCAACCTGGGCTTGAAGCTCCTCGACTGCGACTCGCTTCTACAATATCCGACCTTCCAGGTACAAATCGTTTCTCTTTCCTAACAAACATCTGAAGTCTTCAATGCTCTAGGTCACTGCTGCCCCCACCCTTAGGTTCTGTCTCAAATTCGAGGACATATCCTCCTCTATCTAGCGCAACGTCGTCCACTCAGACGGACTAGAGTTCAGTATTTTAGGTCTTTGTGGAAAGCATTGCTACAATTAAGAGGAGCAGCGAAGAATGGCGGGGACGGGGAGCAAGAAGAAGAGGAAAGACAAGCATCGCGAGGTCGAGGATGCGGAGGGGCAGCGGGTGGTGTTGGGGGACGCCCCTTCGAACGAGCAGGCGGACACCGATTACCTGATTAAGCCCCAGTCGACGACCCCGCCGTTGGACACCTCGAAGTGGCCAATTCTGCTGAAGAATTACGACAAGCTGAACGTGAGGACGGGGCATTACACGCCGCTGCCGACGGGGCACACGCCGCTGAAGAGGCCGCTTCACGATTACGTGAGGTATGGAGTGATCAATCTGGACAAGCCGGCGAACCCGTCGTCGCACGAGGTGGTGGCATGGATTCGGCGCATGCTGAGGGTGGACAAGACCGGGCACAGTGGGACGCTGGATCCCAAGGTGACGGGCAGCTTGATCGTGTGCGTGGACAGGGCGACTCGGCTGGTGAAGGCGCAGCAGGGCGCCGGAAAGGAGTACGTGTGCGTGGCGAGGCTGCACTCGGCGGTGGAGTCGGTGGCGAAGGTGGCGCAGGCAATTGAGACGCTGACGGGCGCGCTGTTTCAGAGACCGCCTCTGATCTCGGCGGTGAAGCGGCAGCTGCGCATTCGGACAATCTACGAGAGCAAGCTGCTGGAGTATGATGCGGAGAGGCACCTGGTGGTGTTCTGGGTGTCGTGCGAGGCGGGGACGTACATTCGAACGCTGTGCGTGCACTTGGGGTTGCTGCTGGGAGTGGGAGGTCACATGCAGGAGCTGCGTAGGGTTCGGTCGGGGATTCTGGGCGAGAAAGACAACCTGGTGACGATGCACGACGTGCTGGACGCGCAGTGGGTGTACGACAACCACAAGGACGAGAGCTACTTGAGGCGGGTGATCATGCCTCTGGAGGTTCTGCTGACGAGCTACAAGAGGTGCGTGGTGAAGGACAGCGCAGTGAATGCCATCTGCTACGGGGCGAAGCTGATGATTCCCGGGCTGCTGAGGTACGAGCAGGGGATCGAGGTGGGCGAGGAGGTGGTGCTGATGACGACGAAGGGCGAGGCGATAGCGCTGGGCATCGCTCAGATGACGACGGCAGTGATGGCGACGTGCGATCACGGCGTGGTGGCGAAGGTGAAGAGGGTGGTGATGGAGAGGGACACGTACCCGAGGAAGTGGGGGCTGGGTCCGCGGGCGATGACGAAGAAGAAGATGATCAGCGACGGGCTGCTGGACAAGCACGGGAAACCGAACGAGAAGACGCCTGCGGAGTGGCTGCGAGTGCCTCAGTTCGACGCGGCGCCGAAGAAGGCGGCCGAGGAGGAGGGGGCCAAGGCAGCAGCGGACGGCGGCGAGGGCGCGGAGATGGCGACCCCGGCGAAGGGGAAGAGCAAGGGCGAGGCGGACAATGGCGGTGCGGAGGAGGTAGAGAACGGATCGAAGAGCGAGAAGAAGCGGTCGAAGGAGGCGTCGAGCCCCGTGACACAAACGCCGGACACGGCTCCGAAGAAGAAGAAGGCGAAGAAGGGAGAGACGGCAGAGGAGACGAATGGAGAAGCGACGACGGAGAAGAAGAAGAAGAAGAAGAAGATGAAGTCGGGGGACGTGGAGATGGAGGAGGCGACGGAGGTGGCAGCTAGTGTAGAGAAGAGCGAGAAGAAGAAGAAGAAAAAGAAGAAGTCGAGCGAAGATGTGCAATAGAGGTGGCGTAGGGACGGTGGTTAAATTAATTTTTTTTTCGTTTTTTTTAAAATTATTTTGCCCCTTCTTTTTGTTAAATTTTCTTATTTCCCCTTGAGTAGTGATAGCTTTCGGTACAGGGACAAGCTGGCGTATGAATTTTGGTTCTAAGAACGACGAGGCAGTTTTCAGATAGTGCCATGGGAATGAAAGGAGAGGCATCACAAGAGATGATGTCGGAAAGGTTTTCAACGTCTGCGTGGGATGTATGATGTGCGGTGGATGGGAATGGGGGTGGGGATGGGCGTGGGCAGACAGTGGATTGTTGTGGATGCGGAGGTGATTGTGGTGCATGCAGCAGCTGTGTGGCGGCGCGGTTGAGCTGGTTGTGAGTTGTGGAGTCGGGTTGGGATGTGTTGTGCTGGGTGTGGGCGGGCAGCAGGGTAGTGGAGTGGTGTGGCAGGGTGTTGAATTTGAGGAGGGGATGCGTGGTGGGGTTGAGTGGGGGTGCCGCGTCACAGTGCAGGGTTGTAGCGCGATGGTCGGTCCCCGGGCAGTTGGAAGTGTCCGTGATCTTGGGGCGGAATGTGGTTGGGATGTGGGGTTGGGCGGTGTTCGCAGTGGAAGGGTGCATGCTGTTTGTGTGATATCCGATGCGAGTTGTGAATGAAAGTTGGAGTTGGAGCGCCCCATGCATTGTTGTTGGTGCATGTTAAAAATGCGCAGGCTTTTCGATTCCACGTGCGTGGGGCAAACCACAAAGCAGTGGGCCGGACGTGGTTGCGATCCCGCCGCGTGCAGTCGAAGCCGTAATGGTTGGGATGTACAGTTGGGCGTCGTCATCTCGGATTGAGCTTGGCACTCGTTGTGATGGAGGCATTCGCGCGAAGGGGTGTCGGTATTGGTTGTAGTTTATTCGGTGACACTTGGGCCGATGAAGGGGTGTTTGTTCAGTATGCTTGTACTCCTAGCATAACCTACGGTGTCTGTTCATTATGCGCATAGTCTCAGCGTTATCTGTGGTATGTTAACAGCATGCACATGGTCTTAGCATTGTGTGTAGTGTCCGAAACTGTATCCCGATGCATGGTATGAGTGTACTCTTTTGTTCTCACATGCAACGATACGATAGTGCAACTCTGGCTTACCAACACTGTAATCGTCATGGCTCGCTGGGCTCGTAGCTGTTTGGGCCGCAAGATAGGCGGCACCTTAGATGGTATGATGTGATACAAGAGTCAAGTTAAATTGGCTTGATGAGTCGGCGCTGAGGATTAGGGTTGACCTATGACGCTGGGGCCATTCGTGGGCCCGCAGCTACCAAAACAATTTGTACATGACGGCGACGGAGAGAGCTACTGCATGTGATCAGGGAACGGTGAACCTGAGCGAGCAGGGTATGTTTCAGTGGGGAGGTTCGGGGATCTGAGGTGTCAGTCTGAAGGCGAAAAAGTAGTACAGGTCGTTTTGTGACACCGATGACATTGTTTTGTCTTCCTGGTTGTTCTCCTGGGAAGAAAAGAAACACTGTTGGATTGTGTGATACCGGTTGGATTGTCGAGTGTGAGTAGTCGTGTGTAGAGGACAGTGTGGTACAGAAGTTCGTGAAAGCAAAGGCGATGTCGGGGTCCGGCATTGGTATGCGAATGAAGTAGGGAGTGGATGTAGGTGGAGGTAGCTTACGACGACCCAGGAGGACAGCAATTGTTGGTATTCATTTCGATGTCGAATTCCACGAGTCGGTTTATGTCTCGTTGAGAATGAAGATTAGGTAGAGCAACTTCAGCAAGGGTGCGAATGCGACAGACGGCAGAATCACTTCCTTGAGGGCAGGTGGGAATTGCGGTGAAAGCTTTTGCAAGAGTACACTATTGTAATCCTTGCCGAGCAGGGATCAGAAGCTCATGGTACGGTTCATCACAGAAGGGTGCTTCCAATCACAAGTCACAAAAGGAGAAATGGCAACCTTCGTGGAGGTGTGCTGATAGTAATGTTGCTCGGTGAAGGAGTAGAGTAGAGCTGCTGTATGTTGGAGGTGAGTGCGATCAGGACTATGTCTGAAGAAACATTTGTTCGTGTTAAGGGGACAGATCGGGAAGTTGGAAAATGAGATGTGTGTGGTTGAAACAATCTCACCGTACAGGGATACAACGTGCAGCAACCTAAGATACAAGGCAATGCAAATAACTCGTGACATTTAATGACGCAGTCGTTCTCAGGGAGCGCGAACCGGAGCAGTGATTTGAGCAGGGAAATGCGGAGAACAGGAAAGTCGGGAGGACGGGAGGAGTGCCAGGATTGCGAGCGCATTCCGGGCATATATATATATATATATATCCACACACTTGGGCCTCTTGGTCATGGTTGCAGTGGATATGGGGTGGAGCTTCGGAAGTGAGGAGTTCCAGTGAATTGCAGAATGTTGGAGTGCGAGCAGGCGCTGTGAGGTCTTGGTTGGAGACATGGGTTTGGGGAGGGAGACATTGCACACTTGTATTAGGGGCTGCAGCTTCGCATACTAGTTTTAGGGGATGCGGCTTTGCACACTCTTCGTGACGAGCATGAACGTTCCGACGCTGTGAGGAGAGAGGGAAGGACGCGAGTTGGGGAGCAAGTGGGAGGGGGAACTGACAAAAGTGACCACGAGGGGATTCGAACCCCCGACCTTCAGATCCGAAGTCTGACGCGCTAATCCACTGCGCTACGCGGCCGGGCGAGTGAAACGATAGAAGCGATCAATCGAGGATCGTTTGTATACTAAGAATTTCGATGTATGATTGGAGAGCAGGTTTTGCACTGGTAGACTGTTCTTCTATGTCGCAATGCTCTACTAGTGCATGTGAAATGGCAAGCATTATGACATGCTACTGCCAAGGCTAAGGATGCAAGGTTATGAGAACTAATGATTATCCCGATTGATATTGAACTTGGGATGCTTCATGCTTATGTACATTCGTGCACTTTTAGATTTGAAGACTGAGAGGGAATTTATTTGCTGAACATGATGTGTAGTTTAACCTTGTGACATATTATATGTTTTTTCATGTATAATCGGGTTGATCCATGTATGCAGCAAATACGAGGAGGCGTGAGAATTTGGATAGAAAAGTTGGTTTACTTGTGATTTGAAGGAAGGAATGAGGTAAAAAGGTTCTGAAGCTCTCTCAAGTGGAAATGTTGGTTATCACAAGTTGCACAATTGAAATCACACAATTGAAGAGCATGATGAATGACACCTTAGCAGAACAAGTATTGCCCTTTCCTACTACTTCTCTCTTAGTAAAGCTATCAAAGCCAGTTTGTAGTAAGTTTGTGATCATGATAAGGTGCAAGTCATCAAAGTATATACCGCTTCTTCTTCTTCCTCTTTTTTTATCCCAAACTTGAGACAACAAAAAATTGCCAAAAAACAAAAAACGAAAAAAGAAAAAGATAGTTAGTGCCATTCGGAAGAACGTGTGTTCCAAGAAGGTACAATTGGTTCTTGTGGTCTTTTTGTGCTACGTGGGTCGAAATATATCTTTATTTTCGAAATCTCATTGTGTTTGTGATTTAGGCACTGTTATATATATTTTGTTTGATATATTTGTTAAGTTATATACACATGGTTCTTCAATTTATGAATTGTGAGGGTACGGATTTGATTGTAGTTGTAATGCCTTCTTTTGACTGCGTAATTTGTTTTTAATCCAGATGGTCCATGAATTATAAATTGATATGCTTTTTTGATTATTATTATAATATATGATTGTATGTCTATGTGCTATGTAGATGTATATTGCGACTGTTTGCACATTTATTTTTAATGCTTTTAAGATATATTATTTCTATGTAAACATATATTGTAGTGTTTAGTATGTGTTTGTAAGAATTTTCTAATTAGTGTTTTTTTGCTTTGTCGACAGTGTGGTTGCATTTCAAAGTTGTGGGTTCTCGGAGTTTTAGTTAGTTTTCTTCTGTTACTATATCTTTCTGGATTTGCATTTATCGCTATTACGAAAGATGGGGCATAGGATATGTCCTTTTTTTTGTTTTGTTGAAGCAGTTGTAATTGATATTTTCTTGAAATTAGTCGAAAGCATTGTAGATTGACAGTGATGTCATTAACATGTGCAGAATGTAACGTATTGTCATTTTACATTTTAGGTTATTTAGCAGAGAATAGATGTTTAAATTTTTTTGAGTCGTATATTTTTCACGGCCCCTGCTTTGGAAGTATTTATTGGTCTGATATATTCAAATGTCATTGTTTGCAATATTGTTTAGAGAACGATGTTTACGAAGTTCTCAGATCCATTCACCATTAAAAGTCTTCATTGCGTGTTTTCTTCCAAAACATGGAAATGATGTCCTGAGATTATTGACGTAAATAGTTAGCGAATAGCAAGATATCTTAAATGTTACAGCATTGGAAATATTTGATTAGGCTTTTGTCAAGAATTCCACCACCTACATCCGAATGTGTGATTGTTGAAGACATTTGCAATTCTACGCATTAACCGTTTTAGCTCATTTTCTTGGCCACAAGCATTTTTAAAAATACAAGCATTTATAACCACATGCCGCTGAATTTGAGACAAGTTATCCTGAACTACTCAGGAGGGGTTCAAGATTGGTGGGAGGCTGCCAACGTGAGTATGGACTGTACTAGTTTAGTGTGAAGGGTGGCCAATAGGAAAGGCAAGCTACGGAATGGAGGAATTGGAAATGCGAGTAGGAAGAGCTTCAAAAGGGCAAGCATCACTGGGCATTTGTGAGGACGATGAAGAAATATATACCAACATTTTGGGCTTGGTGACCAGGAAGGGGGTTGTGAGGCCACAGCCTCAGGGATCCAATTAAGGCTGAAGCCTTACCCACGGACTTCGGTGCCCGACCCCACCTGCTGAGTTGGTAATGCCATGTCGTATAACCTTATTCTGGTGATTCACATTTGAGTGGCTGCCCATGTGGCACTACTGCACAAAACACGGAACACCCCTCAACTGGGTGCTAGTTATGTTGGGGTTTTTATATCAACCAAAGTGTTAACACATTTCATGATTATAACATTTGGTAACTTGTAAGTAGATGATTCAGAGTGAGTTCCTTGAAACATTAGTTGTTCCATGAATATGAACAACTAGGAGAGCATTTAAAATTAGCAGATGTAATGAATCAGAACAATATGTATGCCTTGAATCTATTAATGACCTTCTTGTGGTGTCATATATTTTTAGTCCAATTTGAAAATAACACTAACTATAGAGTACGTAGAATAAATTCTTCCATCCATGAATTCTTATTTAGAGTAAAATAAGGTTGAAGAAGCCGCTTGCAAGCACTGCCAGATGAAATTTCAGTTTAGAGATGTACCACAAGACAGATGATAGAGGAGAACGTGCTGGATAATAAAATAATTAATTCTAAAAAGTTGAACAAGGACATTCTTTCTAGTAATGTTTTGCACATGGGTGAGAGAAGACTTTGGAATGCAGCAATACTAGTAGCACTTGAAAGGGGCATTCTACTACATACATGGGAGGAACTATTTACTCTTCTCACCATGAATTTCTGGTCTCATTCCTTGTTGTAGAGGTGCTTGTACATGAACAATCTCCTCCAAAAGCAAATTCATGTTTATTTGAATTAAAATATTCACTCTTGTTATGCTGTGAAAGAATGCTTTTTATACACTTTCACACTCCATGTGAAATTGAAAAATTATGTACGTAGGAAAAAAGTAAAGGAAAAGGATTTTTTAATTGAAACTTGTCAAAAACAATATTGAGAAGTAATGACAAAGTGCAAAGAATGCATCCACCCAGTTATGTATTTCAATAGGTAATGACATCAAGACCAATTTTTTGTTTTCGAATGTATGAGTTAGAGGTAGTCAAACATAGTTAAGAATTTTAAATTTGGTGGTATCTTGTACTATTTCTATAAACTAAGTCTATCTTTCCAAAGTCATCATGTATTCATTTAACCATTACCTTGTTCTTAGTTGACATTGAATTTGTTTCATATTTTTTTAACAGCAACTTTTTGTTTCTAATGTCAAAAATCATAAAATATATATGCAATCAATTAAAAATATTATTAGGTGGATATCTCTCTTTTAATACATGGACATCCATACATGTAACACACCTCTACATATACACCACTGAAAAAAATAGAATAAAATAAAAAACTCATATATATATATATATATATATATATATATATGAGTTTTTATTTGAAAATAATTACTATTAACAATATAAAACATATTTTATATTTATATTATTCAAAAAATTAATTTAACAATGGTTTGCAATGACAAGAGGATTGAAGGTTGAAATAATATGGAGCTATACATTGCAAATAGAGAAGAATATATCAAATTCCTATAGTAAAGGAATAAATATAATAAGAATCATTATTTAAAATCAAAACTAGTTGTTTTTGGCAGAGATGTCTATATGGGGGTGCATGGCATGAAGATGTCTACATAGTAAAAGCAGGGTGTCTACCCCATGGTTCCCTTAAACAATTATAAGATAATTATTTTATACTTAAACATGAACATATCTATTTTGTATAAAAATATTGGTCTTTATCCTAAAAATTCTTTGATTTATTTAATCCCAAACTCTAAAGAGTGACTTTTAGCTTGAACTTTAGAAAATTCTTTGATTGAGTGAATTCTAAATGATATCCAATTGATATACAATTGAATATTAGTTTTGATACATACTCTTATTTTAGATTTAAAAAATTATTTTATGGATAATATAATCTTTCATAGAAACAATTGTGGAACTTTTGGCAGAAAGTGTGGCAAAATTGTTTGAAATATTTGTTGAGAAAAAGAAACTAAAAATTTTAAACAGCTTAGCCAATCCCATACTGTGATATTACTGTCTATTTGTGATAAGTATTTATGTTTTCTTTATAAAATTAAGAAGATATAAGAAGATTTGGAATTATACATGTGTGTGTGTGCGAGTGTGTGTAAATATATATATATATATATATATATATATTCATGGAGGCTATTAGAGAATTCTTGAAGATTTAAATATAAAATAACACTTTAAACATAAATCTTCAAAATGTATTGAAAGGAAAAAAAAAAAAAAACAATAAAAAACAATAAAAAACTCAAAAATATTGTAGAAATAAATGTTGGTTGAAGAATTTCTATTACGATTATTCTGCAAATTCAAATGAATTAGTGTAAGTTAAATTTAATAGCCTGTGATAAACTGAGTAGTAATGAAAACACAAAATGTTATTTATGCTATTAACTATATACATCTTCTTGTTAAGTTAAGATATATTCTTAATATGAGTGTTTTTATTCACTAGGATAATATGGGATTCGAAGAATATGATGCACACATGTTTCAAGAGTGTGAATAAACCGAAGATATCTTAACTTACAAAGGTTTTTGATAACTACAGGAATATCCCACAGATATTAAAGCCTCATACAGTAAAGCATTATTTTAATTAAATATATATATATATATTTATTTATTTTATGACTTTATGGCATCAAAATGTATTAGAATATCATATTATGGCTTTTTTCCAATATTCTGCTTTAAGTTAATGTTATTTTCTTCATTGCCTTCCTATTCTTACACATGTAATTTCAAACTATGAATCTTATTTTTTTTTTTAATAATGATATTCTTCTATATCAAAATAGTTGGATAGGACTTGGTTTTCAAAAGTAGAAGTACTAATCCTCATTGTTTTTAAAGATATACATGAGTGTAATTTAATTATTAGATTTATAAAAAGAAGCATTCCTGCACCTAAAACCATACACACATTATTTCTCCTTAAAGAACCTTTTTCTTATGGAAGAACGCCTTACCCAACCAAGCGAGTTTACAACAGTGAACAAAGTGGCTATAGTTTTGTTCTGGACATACGACCGAATTAAAAAAGAAGAAGAAGACAAAATTTCAAAGGAGAAATGAATAAAATAAAATAAAATAAACACAAACCTCCCCAAAATAAGAAAATAATATGGGAATTAAAAAAAGTAGATATAAATAACAAAGAAACAAAAACAATTGGGGGTGGTATGAATGAAAAAGTCAGGTGGCGGTGTGAAAAGGAGAAAAGGATGGGCAAGTGAAGGTGCCACACGAGGGCGGGCGGGCGAGGCGGAGGGGAAGCAGGCCGGTGCCTTCATCCATCCATCCATTACATTTCAATCATTCATGAAGGCATTCATTCATTCGTTCTGCCGAGGGAGGCGTGCAAATAAATTAAAGCTCGTGGATCACGAATGGACCCAAAGGGCGCCGGAAGAGATGGCCGACTTCGCCCGCTATCCTTTCCCCCCACCCCCCTTCGTCACAACAAAGACGTGGGGGTGGGGGGATTACAAGAAGCCCGGAGGAGGAAGAGGAGGGTCTACGCTGCCCTGCTCTGCTCTGCTCTGCTCTGCTCTATTCTGTCTTTGGCCTCCGTCTCTTTGCCTTGCTTTACACATTTAAAGTTCACATCGTCGGAGCCCGTTCCACGTGAATCACGATCTCCGCCTGCCAGCGTCGTCGTTCCCCACACGGAAGGTCTACCACACCATTATCACCCACTCATTACATATTGAAGGGAAGGGAGGATACTAAACTAACAACATTCCCCACTGTATTTACTTACGGCCCCATCCATCTCAAGCCCTGCGCGCGCGGTCGCCCCCCCCCCCCCACCCCCGCTTGACCAGCTGTAGTAGTAGTCGTCGTAGTACGATGGATGGTGAGCGTGGGGACTGCGACAGTTCAGCCCCTCCTTGGACGAATACGCAGATGACCCTGACGACGATGAGGATGATGGTGGTGGTGTTCCCTCAACTCAACTCAACGATGCCTGTAGGATGAAGTGACGGCGACGGTGCGCCGTCTCCCCCCCCCCCACAATTCCACAATTCCTTACTTTTTTGCCCAGTGAGTGAGTGAGCTGAGCCTTGTTTTTTTGTCTCAGGTGCTGCTGGTCTTCTCTTTGAATCCCCAGTCTCCTGGGACACAGTTGTCAACCGCGCTCTGTTTCTATTTCAGGAATCTGCCTTTTGCATGCTGTCGATCTCTACCTCTCTCCTCTCATCACTCTTGGCCAGGCTTGTCGCTCTTTCTTTATCAGATTCACCCTCCCCCAAATGTGGGGTGTTTGGTTTGTGAACTGGTGGGCGTTCCTTTTGTGGAAGGAACTGTTTTCAGGCTTAACACGAATCTGGAAAAGAGCCGATTTGGTGATGCATCCGAGAAAGTATGCTCGGGGCTTTATTTTTAAGAGCCAACTTCCGCCCTTGCACAGTAGGTTGTGTACAGTCGGCCCCCTTGGCTCCGTTTGGAGGTTGCACACGTCGAGTGAGGCCCTCATTCTTGCTCCGTAGTTTATAGAATTGTTAGGTGTAGATGGAATTGGATGTGAGCGTTGGAATCCAGTCTCGCCGTCGGAGCAATCGTGTTTCAGATTGGAGCAGCAGTAATCGGAAACAAAGCTAATTAATCAACTGCATGCTGCTGCGCAGCGGGATTTTTACGCTTGCACTTCTATCCACTCTTGAAAAAGACAACATCTATCCGGGTCTACACTTTGAATTCACCTAGTGTCATTCATGTTCGCCATATGCGAACCGCCTCTGGATAGAACGCAGGCCCTCTTGCCGCTGTGGTAGTGGCTTTTTCTGCCCAGGGTTGTCCTTCCATTTCTCTGTGCACTCTGATCATGGATCCAGAGTCCAGAATTCCTCAGGTACGACCTCCTTCGCCTCGGTCCATTACGTCACTGTCATTGTCTCGATAATTCCGACTCACACGGTCTTTTCCTGTCATTGCCGATTTAGGCAGTCTTTGAGTCTGAAGCGTCTCGTTTTTCAGGGCTGTTCATCAAGTTCCACCATGTTAAAGTCCTAGTTTGAGGTTAACTTTCCAGACCTGGATGTGTACGGATTAATCAGTCGCAGCCGCTTTTAGTTCCATTTGCTCCTGGGTTGCGCGTACCGAATGAATAATGGTTGTGTGATTGATCTCGGCCGCAGTATACACAGAAGGCCTCCCTGGCAGCGATAATCACGCTCGCATACCAAAGCTTCGGGGTGGTGTACGGAGACCTCAGCGTCTCCTCTCTTTACGTCTTCCGTGCCACGTTCAGTGATCTCCAGCGCGCTGACGACTTGGAGTTGTACGAGGTTTATGGCGTCGTGAGCTTTATCTTTTGGACACTTACTTTGATTCCTGTCATCAAATACTCGTTTCTAGTCCTAAATGCGGACGACAATGGAGAAGGTGCAACCTCTTTCATATTCCCATTTGCAAATCAAAAAACTTTACCTGTGGGGTTTATGGTTCTCATTGCCACTGTTTTTGATATTGCAGGGGGAACGTTTGCGCTGTATGCCTTGCTATGCCGACATCTCAAGCTGAGCCTTATTTTAAACCAGCAAGCAGCGGATGAGAAGCTCTCACTGTACAAGTTAGAGCATGAACAAACAGCGGAGTCACCACGTGGGGTGTACTTTCGGCGTCTGCTTGAGAAGCACAAGTCTCTCCAGACTGGGCTCCTGATTGTTGTTTTGCTGGGTACTTGTATGGTCATTGGCGATGGCGCACTCACACCAGCTCTCTCAGGTAAACGTTCTTTTTTGATTCTTGCATTTTTTTCCGTTCTGAAAGGGTATCGCTTTGTTTCGGTACTCGAAGCATGTCTACTCTTGGTATGATTATACCACGTTTTTTGTGTGGCCGAGCATTGAGAAGGTTTGTGAATGTAGGTTGCTGAGAATACAGTTCTGAGCGTACAAGTTCTTCAACATGTGTGTTTAGGATTCTTCATTACGTGTGGACCATCTATGTAATGAATCGTTTTCAAAGCGTTATGTTCGCCAGATATGTTCCCAAGTTGTTTAAACCAGGGTACATCTTTAACTGTTTGTGTCGCTGCTTTGGGTGGTAGTTTTATCAGCCATAGATGGAATTCGGGTTGCTGCTCCCAGCCTTCACAAAGGTGAGTACAACCCATCAGTGGTTACATGCTGACTACAACAGATCAAAATGATAGAACTTCTCACGTGAGGATATCGCCTAATTTATGATATTTTATAACATTTATTTAGCCTGCATTATGAGTGTGAGTTGGGATTGGCACAGTTCAAAATGTCGTCGAGTGTTTGAAACTCTTCTCAGACGTGATCTTATGTTCAAAGTGAGGTCCTTATCAGATCATTGAATTCTGAGAACATTCTAAAAAGTTGCGGAATTCGACCTTGCAGATGTGACGGTAGTCTTATCCTGTACTATTTTGGTGCTTCTCTTCGGGCTGCAGCACATAGGCACACGTCGGGTGTCATTTTTGTTTGCACCCATAATACTGGCGTGGCTTTTCTGCAACGCCGGTGTGGGCTTGTACAACTTGATAGTATGGAATCCGAGCATATGGCGAGCGATCTCACCTTACTATATATATTACTTTTTCAAGACAGATGGCAAAGAGGGCTGGATTTCTCTTGGTGGTGTACTTCTATGTATCACAGGTTCGTGGTTATAACTTTCGATCCTCCCTTCTCTTTTCCCTAGACGTAGCCCCACCGTCTTTTGCCTTATTTCATAGATATTTTTATTTTTCACTGACAGATGTCGTCATAAATTCTAATGAGCAGGGGCGGAGGCGATGTATGCGGACCTGGGCCACTTTTCGCGAACTTCAATTAAGGTGAAGCATTTTATGTAATTCAGGGCATGTTCACTTCTTTGTCTTACGAAAAGAGAAGCTCCAAGTGGTCAAGGAATCATACATGAACCTGCTTTTTGCAGTTTCTGCTCTCTCGATTATTTTTTCTGAGATCCCGAAAAGGAAATTTGCGGAATTTACTTTGTGGTCCCTGCGCTTGCAGCTTGCGTTTACAGGAGTGGTGTACCCTTCCTTGTTGATTGGATACATAGGGCAGGCCGCCTATCTCTCCAAGCATCTTGATGAATATGAACATGCATTCTTCAGATCCGTTCCAGGTTAGTCTGTAGTCTCTTTGTCTGATAACGTCCGGCTGTTCTTACCTCATACAACTTTCCAATTTGTTGGGCACTGACCTTGTTTCTTGCTCAACCGGCCTTTCGTGTTACCATGTGGTAATATTTCAGATCAGTACGGTCACTGATTCATCTCATTTTCCCTTATGTGGAAGTACGTAAATATCTTGCAGTACTGTTAGCTTGTGTAAAAACATTATCTTATTTCTCTCTGATATCCTGGATGTTGTAATGCAGCGCCCGCCTTCTGGCCTGTGTTCATCATAGCCACGTTAGCTTCGATTGTGGGAAGCCAAGCAGTCATATCCGCAACATTTTCCATCATAAACCAGTGCATGGCATTGGGGTGCTTCCCTCGCGTGAAAGTGGTGCATACCTCCAATAATATTCATGGTCAGATCTACATTCCAGAGATTAACTGGATGCTGCTGCTCCTTTGCCTGGCCCTCACTATCGGTTTCCAGGATGTCATTGACATCGGAAATGCATACGGTACAGCCCTGGGTGTTCATCTACAGGTTTCTGTTCTGCAATTAGTTGTGCTTCGTTCATTCATGACGATGGGGCTCTCTGCCATTTCGTCTCATACTCGAAATTAACTCTAGAACCTGTGTGGGATGCAGGGATCGCCGTGATCACAGTGATGCTAGTGACGACCTGTCTGATGACTCTGGTCATCCTAATAGTGTGGCAACTCAACATCTTTCTCGCCTTCTGCTTTTTCGCAGTGTTTGGCTCCGTAGAACTTCTCTACCTCTCGACTGCCTACTACAAAGTTCCTCAGGGAGGTTGGGTGCCGCTCTTAATTGCCGCAGTCTATATGGCGATAATGTACGTGTGGCACTATGGCACCACGAAGAAGTACGAAAATGATTTTCAAAACAAGGTGTCAATGAGATGGTTGCTAGAGCTCGGTCCAAGGCTCGGAATCGTGCGTGTGCCGGGCATTGGATTGATTTACACCGATCTTGTGAGTGGCGTGCCGGCCATTTTCTCACATTTCGTCGCCAACTTGCCCGCCTTCCACGAAGTCTTGGTTTTTGTTTGTATGAAATCTGCACCAGTACCGTATGTTTCTCCCCATGAACGCTACTTGGTTGGCCGCATTGGCCCCAAGGATTACCACATGTATAGGTATTTTTCACACATCTCAATTACGTGTTGCTTCAGTAAGCTCGTTTCTTTGCTTGAATATTTTAATCTTTCTTTCGTTATGGATTTAATTTTTTCTACATATTTTTTGTACTAATAGTTAATGCATGTACTGATGTTTAAATCAGATGTGTGGTGCGATATGGTTACAAAGAGGTACGCGGAGACGAGAATGATTTCGAGACCCAGTTGGTAGCGAATCTAGCAGAATTCATCCAAACGGAAGAAGCTATATCCAGCAACGAAGAGTCCTTTGAAGGCCACATGACTGTGATGGGTACTACCCTTGGGTTGCTCCTCAACCCCCCTAGAAAGGACGACATTCAACTTCCCAGAATGTCCGAGGAGAGTTGTACTTCAATAGTTATGTCTAACAGTGGAGATAGTCTCCAGGTAAATCAACTTCTACATGTCCGGCTTGCATGTCTTGAGACCAGGTGACAGAGAATTCTAGGTTAAATAGTTTTCTAACTAGTTTTTGTATGAAAGAAAGGAACAGCAATTGTTCACCGTGCACTTTTTATTTTATTCTATTTTATTTTATTGTTTTTATTTGTTTTTATTTGTTTCCTTTGGGATAAAATGTACAATGTCATCTTGTGATAATGAGTTATATTGCGATGTATCCATGGAAATTTGGCCTTGCAGCCTACAGATTGGTTGACAACACCACCAGGTGTGATTCTCAAGAGGCGAGTGCGTTTTGATATCCCAATGAGCGAGAGCACTGACGACGTGGATTCGGAAGTTTGCAAGGAGCTCGCGGTTTTGTCAACCGCCAAGGACGCCGGAATTGCGTACATGATGAGCCACTCTTATGTGAAGGCCAAGAAATCTTCTTCTCTTTTAAAGAGATTCACTATAAATTATGCATACACATTTTTGCGGAAGAATAGTCGAGACCCTGCTATTGTTTTTAATATTCCTCACGCCAGCTTGATTGAAGTGGGCATGTTTTACTATGTGTAGAATAATTTATCTATTCTAGTTGTATAGTCACAACTGATCTGGAGGTAACAAGTTAGTGAGAGCTTCCACTCATTCTGGTGGCTAAGGTTTTTGTTTTCCCTTTTTCTTTTTTTCTTTTTTTCCGGAGGAGTGTAACATAGTTTACTCTAGTGTGCATGTGTGAGTGTTCTAGAGAGTTTTTTGCTCGTAACTTCCTCTGTATGTTCCATTATACCACGCCTTAATTTAATTTAATTTTTTTCCTCCTTGGAGGTTTTGTACATCTGTTTGTTTTGCAGATGACTGATGATTTCTAAAATGCTATTCCTCTCAAAAACAAAAGTCTCTATCAGGCTCATTGGCTACTGTAACAATAGATTTTATGTGGGTTCATCTTGTCCCCTACAACATATTTCACATTGCTCTTGCATAGAGTAGATGGATGTTTACTTGTTCTCACCTTTCTCCCTAGGTTGTTTATGCAAGAAAGATATCTTTTATGCAGAAGTGGTCAACACCGTAGTGCAGACAATGCCACCACTTCAACCGATTCCAGGACTCACCTTGGTCAAGTTATCTAGTGTATGGAAATTCAACTAGGTACAGTACAGTTCAGTATTAAGTCGAATGGTATGAGCTCACATGTCAGTTGCACTAGCTGTTCGATTAATTTAGTGGTAAAGAAACACAATGGTACAGTGTTAAACAACACAATATGGTTTCTCCTGCAACGACTTGCTCCTTGAATGTTCATGTGCTTTGACATAGCTTGGTGTGCAGGGTTTTTGCCGAGTTAGATGGAGCTCTGATTGCAGCACCTTATCTTAATTTTGAATTTGATAGGCTCCAGATCGAATAGAACTTCACTATTGCTACTGATATGGGGTTCCGCTGAATATGCAGCTCTAGTTCGAGGAAACGGTGTTCGCCCCAGAATGCTTCCTTAGCGTTGCCAGAGAGAGCTTGGTACTCCCACTCTTGATTGTAGTGGACCTGAAGACCGTCCGTTGACGCTTGCTTCACAATGGCACAGGACCCGCTCCAATATTAAGGTAATATTTCCCTGTTGATTCTCTCATTTCCAAGTAGAATCTCCTATCCACGTAAGGTGAAGCCTTGCAGATGTCATATACCTGATTGCGAGCGCAAGATCTAGTCTTGTATTCATCACGCGGCGGTGAGGTGATGAACAAAATCGGAGTTTGTGCAAAAATCTAAGAATCCATGTGACGTTTACTTGTGAGCTCAGTCAATTTAAAGGATATGAATCTCGTGGGGTAATTATTGGTTTTCGACCATGGACGCCAACCCTTGATTTTATTTATTTATTTATTTTTGTTATATTTAAAGTTTCACTTTGTACATAGGAAGGAAAATTCTGAAGTCATTTTTGTAAAATCCTTAATGAAATGAAGATGAATGTGTGTACCATTAGCCTTTCCATGATGCTACATGTCTTCATATAACCTACAAGTCTACACGTCTATGAATAACCCCCACAGTCTTCATCTTTATCATATTCTTAATATGTATATCAGATATGCATCACACCTATAAAGTGTAAACAAGGGAAGCGTAAAAAATTGATTTGCAATACCATTGATATACAAAGAATTTAGGAAAACCGATTTAGGATGTGTTTACAACCTAGTTAAAATTAAAGAAAGTAACCACATCTTGTACAAAGCATGATTACTTTGAGTATAATGTGATGCCATTTGGATTAACATATATCCCTTGATTTTTAAATAATATCTAATAAATAGTGATTTTTTAGAATATTTAGACAAGTTTGTGATTATTTAAGTATACAAAATTTTGCTATGTTCTATGAACAAAAAAAACATCACAAGAGCCATGTATATTTTGTATTGGAGAAATAACAATAACAACAATTTTATGCCAAATTTGTATTTAGATCTTTTTTAATCAACATTTAGTTAAATTCTCGAATTATATGATATCAAGAAACTTCACAATATTGAAGTGATATTAAGCATCATCATAATGTACATTTTTTTCAAAAAAATTTAGTTAAAAAAGTAAAAATTACTTAAATTATTAATATATATATATATATATATATAGATATAGATATAGATAATTTGTTAAAATTATCAATAAATACAATTGAACTGTTTTTTCTAATGTTGCTAACAAATATACTTTTGGAACTTGGTTATATTCCTTAATCTTTAAGAAATAAAACTTTTTAATAAACTTATATGGTGTAGAGGTTGTAACTTGTAAATTTATTCTTTAGAAATTAAGATAACTTGATACATCTAAATTTTACTATATGTATGTATATTTTGAAAAAAAAAAAATAATTCATAACTTATGATTTCAAAATCTTTGTGTTATTCTAAAAGAAGGTGGTACTAAGAAAAATGATATAAATTTTAACAATAATATTATGTGATTTAAAGATACTAAACTTTGTTAAGAAGTGGATTTTTTTTTCTTTTGCAAAATATTATGACTATAATAAAACTCTTATTACAATTAAAACGAATATCAAAAAATAAACAAGATAAAAAATTTAAAAGATTTTTAACATCATAAAACTACTAAATTTATCAAAAATCTAAAAATAGTTCAAGTATTTTAGAAAATTAAAAAGAGATTAAAAATCTAAATTAAATATATGTACTAAAATACATAAATCAAAATTATAAATAGATATATGAATGAATATACATAAACATATATCTATTATAAAAATTCTATAAAATATTTTAAAAAAATTACTCAAAAAATTATAAATTAATATTTGCATTAATTATTTCATATTAAAATTCATGATATTAAAATTTTAAGCAAAGTTTGATTTCCATGATTCTCTTAAAATTTTAATTAATTAAAATTAATTAATTTTAAATAAAAATACAAAGTAGTTAAAAAAATTTTAAAAAATAATAACTATAGACAATAACTTGAATTTGTACTAAAAAATTGATTAACTAAACAAATAACTAGGTAGTTTTTCTTAAGATTAAAATTATTTTCGAGGGCCTTGCATGAATGTTACAATAAAAAATCATAAAAATCATAAATTTTATGAAACTCTTCTATTTGAATTTTAAGATTAAATGCTATAACTTGTATATTCTATATATATATATATATATATATATATTGAGGTTCAAACTATACACAAATCCCAAGTTGCTATACATACATCTCAAATTGCTATACACCCATTCAAAAAAATAGATGCTTCTAATTACTTATTTGGCTAATTTGATTAGGAATTGATAAAGAAGAGAAAGACGAGGGTGTAAACTCATGCCAAGACAAAGAAGATGGGAAGGAAGTCCAAGCCATATAGAAGGATTAGAATGTATGTTAAGACAATGAATAAAAAAAAGAAAGTTTGGAACTTGCACCAAGATTGAACCCTATTATAATATGGCGTGATTTTCTATCTAAGAATATACTAGGTACCTAGCTATAGAAATTTTAGCTTTAACTTATTTATTGAGCTCCAATAAGTAATTTATTCTTATTATAAAAGGTAAATAAAGGCAATAATATTAAAAACAATTCTACTGGTAAAAACCTTTTATATTTAATAAGGTTTGCACATAAGACTTTCTAGAGCATTTGAAAATTTCCTAATATCCTTTGATATACCAAATCATAACTAATTATTTTTTGATAAGTTAGATTTCCAATAAACTCAAAGAAAATCCATAATCTTCTTTCAAAAATCCATCTTTATATCATAATTTTGTTATAGCTCTATATCTCTATCTTTAACATGTATATAAAATCTTGGCTCCCAAAAACCCCTTTACTTTGCATAAAATGCCCAAATATTAGCAAAATCATATCAAAACATTTTTCTCGAGCAAAAGAATGTTTTTTCTCCAAACTTTAAAATTTAATATCTCTTAATCTAATTATTCAGTTTTTTTTTTTTTTTTTTTTTTTTTTTTTTTTTTTTTTAATTTCTAAAAAATGTAGAATATATCCTTAAGATTTATTAAAAAAAAATGAATAAAAAATATACTACAAATCATCTAGCATCTTAGAAACCCTAGCAAGTACTCCAAATCTTAATTTACAAGCACCAAAATAAGATTTTCTTTATATCTCAAAAATCCAAAATCTAAATTCTATAAAATTTGGTATGTAGCTTTAAAAAATATTAATACGAATTTGTAGAAAATTTCAAAGAAAGTTTCGTCCAAATGCCCAAGATATGGCTAGAACCAAGTCCCTTATGAAATTGGTTCACTAACAAATCTCAATTTGAAAGCATTGTCTTTAAGTAGTCATTGCTCTTCCAAATCAACTCCAAATCTTTTTCTTTTTGCATGAAAATTGTAAATCTTTAAACTAACTTTCCAACTACACAATCCAATCCTCAAAAGCCCTTTAGACACATGCGTTATGCTCCAAAGAGTGATAGTAGGTATAAATCGACATCTCAACCTTTGAGCACCTATATCTCTTTTACAAAGACTCCAAATTATACAAAATTTTTACTAAAATTATATCCGAAATTCTAAACTTGACAATCTTAATTTTTGATGTTCAAATATTTTTGAAAGAATAATCGTAATCCATAATAAGGCCTGAGGCAGCCTCCTTGAAGTCCATTGGGTATGAATTTTAGCCAATAGGAATGGAGATTTTCATCATCCATCTCCATTCATCCATATGATTGGCCTAACTATCATTTTTTATACAAAAATCCTTCTTTAATCATTTTTCTAATAACTTTTATATAATATGTGTTCTAAATACCAAATAAAAAGAAATAAAATAAAATTTTAAAAATCACTGATGTCTAATAAAGGTCGCTCTAAATATATTAAACTATTATCAATATAAAATCAACCTCAATAATAGCCCTTTTAGACTAATACTTCAAAGTAGTAATCTAACTACACTTTGTAACCTACTAAAATCTAATAACATGGCTCTCACTACATTGTATAGTAAATTGTATATTAAATATATATGTGCATTATTTTCATATGGTAGCCAAACAACAATACAATACCATGCTAGAATAAGAAAGATGAGAATGAAGTCTAAGATATACTCTAGAACAAAGAAGAAGAGAAGGAAATCATATCTAAATCTATTCAAATGATATAAATAAAAAAATCAATTAAAAGCCTTTGATTCGTGTATAAACATAATGATTGTGTGTATAATAATTTGAGATGTGAATGTAGCTTGAGTCTATTTATGTAATTTTAATTAAAGCATATAGTCTTATTAAAGTCAATCAAAATTATTAAAAATTTTATACAATATTTTATAACTAAATAAATATTTAAAAATATACATACATATATAAATATGTTTAAGAATTATAAAAAAATTATTCAATATATTTATATAAAAATTTCAAGAATATCTTATTGTGGTAATTTTTTTTGACTTAAAGTCCAAGTTCAAATTCCAAATGTAAGTATAAATCTAAAGATAAGAAGAAAGGAACTGAATTTTTTTTCAAAACAAATTATCAATTATTCTAAAATGTGATATTTTCATCTATCTAACATTGAGTTCTTATCATTTATCTAATTTATTTTTCTTAAATATTTTTTTTTACCTTTCTAATCTTATATACAGCATCTCTAATACCAAAAATACAAAACAAACATATGCAATCAAAGAAACTCCAAAGCTTTTGATATGCTCTATATTAAACTCAACATCTACATATTATATTTAAAGGTTATTAATTAAAAAAATGAATCACACAGAGTGCATGAAACTCCTTTATATATATATATATATATATAATTTTTAGTTACTTATTCTTACAAAAAAATAAAAAATAAAATCAAATCTTATAACATACTCTAAAGTACTTGATATATTCTATATTTCACTTAACATCTACATATTATATTTGAAAGACACTTATGAAGAAAATTAATCACATAGAGTGCATGATACTCCTTTAGATTAGTATATATATATATATATATTTAAATAAATAAATAAATAAATAAATAAAATTTTAATTATTTATTCTTATATAAAGAAAAAAGTAAATCTTATAATATACTCCAAAGTACTTGATGTATTCTACATTATATTCAATATTTACATATTATCTTTAAGAGACAATAATAAAAAACATTAATCACATAGAGCACATAACTCTGATATATATATATATATATATATATAAATTCTTAATTATTCATTGACTTATATAAACAAAGTTGATTCTTATAACATATTCTAAAGTACTTGGTTGTTCTATATTAGACTTACTAATGAAGAAAATTAATCATATAGAATATATATATATATATATATATATATAGAGAGAGAGAGAGAGAGAGAGAGAGAGAGAATATATATATATAAATTCTTAATCATTAATTCTCATATCAAAAAAAGAAGTCTTACAACATAATTAAATTTGGAAGGAAGCTACTCCAAGAATTCAATCTTTCTACTAATTTAATAGTAACTAAATGGAGTCTTTTAATAGAACTTAACTTTTCTTTTGAATGACATAATATATGGTTCAAATCTTTAGCTTACAAAGATATAATGTTTATTTGGTTTTTATGGCACAAAAGAGTTGCAAATAACACATAGAAGAAATGGGCTAGTCCACTCTTAAATACACAATATGTATTATATTCTCTCTAGATATCAAAAATCATCATATACTGTTTCAAGGAGTGCTACCAAGTTTATTGTATTTTTTAGATTGGACCACCACAATTCTACATAAATTGACTTTAATTAATCAAAATAAAGGCTATGAAAGCATTCATATCAAAGAGATTTTTGCATAGAATATTGCTTCCAAGTTTTAAAAGATTTTGTAAGATTTGGTCCCTAATACAAGGTCTTAATTTGAGGAAAATTTGGATTCAAAGAAAAAATCTAATGTTTGAACTTGATATAAGGATTGACCTACATATTAGAAGTAAGATTTGGAAAGACTTGATAGAGTATGGAAAAATTAATTTTGAAGCGTTGGGAAAAAAAACTTCAAATTCATCCCAAATATGAACCAAATCTCCACAAAAAAATGAGATAAATTGTGGATAGCAAAAATTGTAATTGGATATAGAATTTTTAAAAAATATAATAAAAAGGAACTCTAGAATACACATGAAATAACACATAGAATTGTATTTGAATAGAGAGCTTGTAACACAAAGAATTGTGGTTGAGTGAAGAACTTGGCAATATGTATTACCCGATTCTCCTAACTTGGTCTGGTTAAATATTGAAGGGTTAGGATGTCTTTCTGCACCTAATCTCCATATCAATGCATAAAATATACCCAATTGTTGTGTCAAAAAAGAGAAAAACAAACAAATAAACAGAATTGAGAAGTGACATGGGAGTGCGAATGAGGGAGGAGGGCTCAGGAGCACGCGCGGCGTGGCGGTGGAGGCGTGAGCAGGGCTATGGAGACAGACCGCGTGAGGGGCGTTGGCCCCGTGGTGGAGAATCGCCCTGTGCAGCAGCAGCAGCCGGGTTCATTTTGCCACCATTTCCCCTCCTCTTCTGTCCTGTCAACCCTGCCTGCCCATGCATCTTTTCATGGCCTCACGGAGCCTCCTGGTTGAGTGTCACTTGCACTACTGCATACGCACCAATTGTGTGCTCCTCACCAAAGTTTCCGCTGAATTATTCGCGCCACATCGCGGGCTCTCGTGCTGCTGCTGCTGTTGCGGTGATTGGGAGCACGGCCATACAAAGTTGAACTGTAGTAAATATTTCACTGGTGCAAAGGGTGTCGCTCTTGACTCGAACTGTCGCTCTTGGCTCACGGAGAATTCGGGAAAGGTCACTTATGCTTGTCTTATGTGTCGCCGATGACGCACCCTCCCCCACAAATACTCTAAATAGTACGTAAAAAACGACGGGTTTGCTACCAGTGTTTGGGTCCTTTGTATGATCTCCATGCACCACCTATCATATCCTATCTGTTCCCATCAAAAGGGGAAGCAAGTGAAACGTACGACGGCTGCCTTTGTCAGGACTCGCTTCGTTGGAATTTTGAGTAATTTTGCTGTGCGAGTGGTCGTGGTACGAGTGCGACTCATACAAGCGAGGGAGGCACAGAAATACAGATGGTTGGGATGGATTTGCAACGGGTGGTTCAGGAGCCGAGCCCAAGTGCAGCGATGAGAAACCACGGAAAGGGAGACGTGGGTGCGGTCGGGAGAGATTTCAGGGCTGGGAAAAGCATCCCCTCCCTCCACTTTTCCGTACTGGGAATGTCTGTTCACGATTCTGGGTGCATACCAGGCTCTGTTGCCCTGCCTGCGCCATCTCTGGATGTTATCGTTGTTAACCGCATCCATTCCACCATCACCATCTGCTTTACTGCGACTTCTCACCGTTCCTAGCTCAGGGTCTTTTCCGACATTGTCCTCCAGCTCCTCACCTTCGTGATGCCCACAGTTCCCTGCATGGTGCTGGAAATGCGGTACCTGAGTGGATGTGGTGCTCTCGTGTCACTGCTTTTTTCCCTTTTCCAAACCAATCAACCCAGGTCCAGGAACGAGTAGTTATGGTAGTTGCAACTCTACAAGTTTTGGATTTATAGACGATTTGCCAGAGTCAGCGGGTGCGAGGTTTCTCGCTCTCTCGTAGATCCCCATCTCTTTGCATTCTTTGTTGATAAGGAGAGTAGTCGCTGAAAGCACCGAGGGACAGGGTGCATTCTGGTCAATTAGACGTGAGTCCATCTTGTCTGGGTGGGGAGCCGAGGGGGTACAAGCATTAGAGAGGTTCAGAGATGTGTAGGATGTAGGCGAGGTGTCAAGTGTATGGGTATCAGTCGAACACTGTTGCACAAGTCGGTAGCAGTGGGAGCAATTTAGAGTGTGGGGGAAGGATTGGAGCAGCAATGGCGGCATTTAGTGAACCGGTGGATTGGCTAGCGGACAACGCTGCTCGAGACGTGGGCTGGCAGATGGTCCATGTCGGCGACAAAGCTCACAACCTCACCCTGAACCCGGCGACTTCTTCCTTTGCAGTTGCTCTCGAGTCTACCTCTCTATGGTCAATTTCCACTCTAGACTACGCCGTGCATAGATTTCTGAAAGATTTTGTTGAGCTGGACATGAGAAAACCAAGTACCATCACAGCCGGTTTGCCCCTCGTGAGCAGCCCCACGCCTGTCGTCTTGGCCATATTTGCTTACATAGTAGTCGTCTGGCTGTGGAGCTCGTACATTAGACGAGTGGGGTTGAAACCTCGCTCGCAGGACCCCGGATGGTTGCGGGCGCTGGTGGTTGTGCACAATTGGTTCCTGTGTTGTCTCAGTTTCTATATGGGTTGTGGAATCATCTCCGAAGCTCGTCACCACGGGTATCGCCCCTTTACCACGACCTCTTTCTCCCCGTCCGACTGATTCCCGCGTACGCTTCACTCTGTCATGTGTGTCTTGTGTTTGAAACTCACATTCCTGAATTCGAAACTCCAATGTACTAACTCGAAGTCAATCTTTCTGACGCGAACGTGCTCTCGCAAATGTCAAATTCAGCTCCTTTGAACGGCAGCGTTTCGTTATACTACCACGTCCGACAGTAGTTGGTTTAACAATCATTTCCGAGAGGGCTTAGGCGTAACCCCACCATAATTCCTTCGCTTGGTTTGGAAATGAACGTTTTGCAGCCTGATCTTTGGAAGTTCTTTAACAGCTGAATAAACAGCACCGTAGAGTTGTTGCTTCAACGAAACATGTCGAAATTCTGACTGGTGGGTAATGTCGTCCGATTGATCCAACCACAGCCCTAAAAATTCGCTCCATGTGGTGCAGATATTCATTCTTTGGTAACTCTGGAAACGATGGAGAAGTTAAAGTGAGTATTCTCTGACAGCTTTTCTTCTCATGATTCTACCCCTAATCATTCCAACCTTGTTTGCAGCAACCAGCTCGTGCCACTCATCATCACTTCCAAGAGGTGCTTGAGTGTCGATTCTTGACTCTGATGAAGATGTCTGTGGATTTGCAGATGGGGTTCTACATTTACATTTTCTACGTTTCAAAGCTGTACGAGTTCATGGATACGGTAAGCTCGTGCGCAACCTACGCCAGTAGGATTGGAAGTTTCTCTAGTGTGGCAATTGCAATTCATTATTCCAACGCGGGTTAAGATTATTGAGCACTCTGCGGAATTACCATCATATCAATGGAGAAGGTGGGGTTTAGATATAATTTCAGAATTTAAGAACATGACTGTTCTTGCTACATCTGTTTGTCTTCCCTGTACTATTCGCAGGGAATGCTTCAGTGAACTTATGTCCGGAAGGTCCTGTGAACAGTTAGAAGCTTTTATGAACTCCCATCTCAGTTTGAATGAATTGGTGGCAGATAGTCATGCTCTTGAGAATGAACTTGCGGCAAATAACTTTTCTTCACGTGTACCATCATGCAAGTATTTCCTTCGTATGGTGGATTATTAGCTACGTCTGTCCCTATGGACCTGGTAAGCAGATTTGGCTTATCATCTTCACAACACTACGAATGGAAGAATTTCATACAGTTACTTTTCGATTGTCGTGAGGCTTGCCAAGGCATATCCCATTTGCAAAAGAAGCACATATTTTCCATCTTTTTGCCTGATAGCTTTCGTTTAGGCAAATCTTGGAATCTAGAACCCACTAATATAACCTAACTGCTTTGTGTGCAGCCTACTTCTCTGCGGCACTTAACTCGTGGATCCACGTATTCATGTACCTGTACTATTTGCTGGCAGCCACTATTGCCAAGGATGAGGAACGACGTCGCAAATACCTCTTCTGGGGCAAGTAAGTTGATTTCTAAATGGCTGAATATACATATGTCTTGCATCCATAACTCCCTATTCTTGTGTCCAAAATGAAAGTTGTGTCCCTGGAATCCCCAGAATCTTTCACCAACACACAGTTTATGAAGTCCTTGCATCCCAATTTGCGACGCCTGTTTGTCATGCTTTCATGCCATTGTTAAAACATGGAATAGTGCCCAGCCTTGTCTTCCTCGTCCTCACTGCGTGTGTGTTTGAGCAGATACTTAACCATGTTTCAAATGCTGCAATTCGTATCCTTCATTGGACAAGCAGTGCATGGGCTCGTGAACCCCAGCACTTACCCAAAAAACATGCCAAGAGTGAGTCCCACCACCACCTGAACTCCCAATGCTTCAATATCTTGTAATTTTCTTTGTAAGAAGTCATCTGGGTTAAGGAAGAGGGGACCGCATTCATTCATATACATGTTGGCGCATTTTCTGTGCAGATGCTGTTTCTCTACTCCTTGTCGTTGTTAATTCTCTTCTGCAACTTCTTCGTCGCCAAATACATGAAATCATCTCCCAAGTTACAATCGAAGCCATTCAAGACCGAGTAGGACAAGAGCCATTTTTTTGAACGTCAATTCTGCGGCAGTTTTCCTCTTCTGAATAGTCTGTTGAAATTTTTCATTTCAGAGAAAGCCATCTTCACTGCACCTTTATCTCTTGCATTGGTTGTATACTACAACGTTTGACCCATTCCGAATGCAGAAGACTTCATCCAATCACTCAACCAACAATGATGAGATCGTCACGTATTTTCCTGAAGGAATTGAAGCTAAATTAGTTGTCAAGCATGTATGAAATTCATCAACTCACCTCTAAGTTTTGTTTGACTCTGCATTCAACAATGGCTGATCGCTAGTAACATCTTCTTTCCTTGGCTTAAATACTGCTTACTTCAAACACTGGTTAAAACTGATTGAAAGTTCAAACCTTGAGAGTGTGTATAATACTCAAAGTAAGTTAGAACACATTGGTATTATATATGTATATATATTTCAATAAAATCTTTGTGTTTCACAAAAAATCTAGTAAAAAAAAGTGTATATAAATGCTCCATTTTGTAAGAAAAAAAATATATAAACTAATGTTTTTAGTAATACAATAGTAATAACCATAAATAAATAAATAGTAAGTGTAAAAATCATAATTAATAACCTATCCAACAAATAGAGAATCTACCAATCATTTTATTATCAACTTATAATATGTTAGATAGGTTGTGGAATATGATTGGTAAATTATCCACTTTTATTACCAATATATCTAATAGATAATCTATCAATCATATTTAATAACTCATCCAACAAATTACAAGTTATTTTTATTACTACTTGTTTTTCTCATATATAATATACAATATATAATATACAACATATAAAATATTACAATCTAAATTATATAAGAGCACAAGTACTAGAACTCCAAAAATCTAAAGCAACATTCGTCTTAACTAAATTCTAACTATTTTATCAAGATATCACTACAAATGTCACAAAGCCTTTTTATCTAATTCTTCCAACATATCTAATGCTTTAACAAATATAAAAAATATCCCTATTACTTTTTATTACATACTTAGATGGTTATACAAAACATAAGTATGTTGTTTCAACATATAACATTTGATACAAGATTCACTAGATTAATAATCTTTACTTCAATTAAAAATTAGAAATTGTACATAGTTATAATTCTAATAATAAGTTATAGGTTTGATTTCAAACTTATAATCTTGATTTAGAACCACCAAAATATAAATTAATATTATTAAAATATGAAACCAACCAACAAACATAGTTGAGTTTTCAAATAATTGATTGTTTTGTAATTTTCATGTCTAAAATAATAATTGTTGTAATATTGCAAGTAATATAGATCCAATGCAATTCAACACCACACAAAGAAAATTGTATGTGTTCTACAAACATGTTGTGAATATAATATACAAAATATGGAGTTTGACAAAAAAAAAAAAAAAAACAAAACCATTCAACTGGAAAAAAAAAGAAATATGGGGTACCAAAACCTTGTATACATATATAGACTATGTAAGAGCAATTTTAGCTATCAATTATTCCAAACAACATAAGAGAAACAATGGAATATTTCAACTTGAGACCACCTCCATTATCCATATACAAGACCACACTCAAAAACTTATTGATGATAGCGGCTTTTATATAGAGTATGTATCACAAGACAATAGTCGTTAACAAATGGTAGGGCAAATTCAACCTAAACATTGATGTGACTTGCCTATTTATCCAAAGACTATCAAAACCATTCTTCATAGGTTCTAATATTGTCCTAAGGTTTCTTGAGTTTGGGAGTGGTTTAGTATTGTCATTCATAAAATGTAAAAGAAATCTAATGTAGCACCAATACAATATAACATTCAATGGCATTACTACATATTTACAAAACCACTCGCCAAGTAGTTTAGCAAATTTAAGCTAATCTTTACACCATTTAGAGGATCTACAAATTTGAGAATTATAGTTGGAGCATAATACTATGACTTTTTAACAAAGAGAAATAGTCAATAGAATGTGTTATAACTAGAATATGGCAATGGCTTCCAGATTATGGTTGCATCAAATGGATCAAACTCACCCAAAAATTGCCAAATGAGAAAAATATAATAGATTTTTGGTTTAAAAGTTTTGACAAGATATGGAAGAACATTAAAATCCTCTATGTCCAATTTGGTAAACAATTAAGATGGCAATTTAATAGAATTAGCTTATAATACCATAGTATCCTAGCTAAGTGGGTTGTAACATAACTAAATGTCAAGTCACCAGGTCAATCCTAAGATAGGCAGGGTTTTTTAACTCTATCTTAGCCTAGCCTTGTATTGGTTATTCACTGCAATGAAATCTTTTTCATTTGTGCCACACAAACAACAAGAACAGAGGAAAAAGAAAAGAAAAAAAAGAAAAAAAGAAAGAAAGAACGCACACACACACACAAACTCTGATCACACGGAACCCAGAGAAGGCCTCATGAGCCGGGTTGAATCCTGCAAGGTGACCAATCCTTTACAGAGGAGTCAAAGTAAACAACGAGCAAAGATGAGGAGTGGATCACGAAGACAAAGAAGAGAGATGAGGGATGCGTGAACACCCACCCGGGGAACAGCCCCACCTGCTCGACTGGAAACAAACTAGGCCTAGTTGGGAGGTGGGTTCACAACTGTTCCTCCCCTTCTCTTCTGATGACATCTACCTTCCATGGTAGCTGTCGTCAGCATCTCCGTGCTCTCCGAAACTCTATCCCCATATCTTGGCTCTAGGCTGCTCCCCGACGATTCTCGCAGCTCTGGTGTGCCTTTTGCTTCTGGCTCTCTGTCCCTTTCTCTGTTTCCTTTGTGCTGAGGTCCAGAGTGGTTGGCGTGCAAATGGCAGTACAACAACTGCTTGAGAACTTGAGACTCCGCACCTCTCTCCATCCCCCGCTAACTCCGCTTGGTCTTGAAGGAACACACAATCGCAGCTTTCCCCGACCAACCCTCTCTCAACTAGCTGAGACATGGCGGGAGGTGCAGGGCGCAGATGACTGGAAGGGTATGTTAGAGCCTCTCAACGACCACTTGAGGGCTGAGCTCATCAGATACGGCGAACTTGCACAAGTTTCTTACGACAGTTTCGATTACGACAAGCACTCGAAGTTTTGCGGGAGCTGCCGCTACTCCCCTGACAGTCTGTTCGAAGAAGTTGATCTGCACCACACAGGCTACACCGTTACCTGGTCCGTTTTTCTTTCGCTCTCCATTTACACTTCAACTTTGGTCAGTGCTGGATTGCAGGAGATCCTGAAGAAGATGTTTTTGGGGACTCTGTAATATTCACCGAGCTGGACCGTTGCTGTGCATGGTCAGGTACATCTACGCCACAGCGAATGTGAGAGTTTGGAGCTTCCTGAGGAGATCAGAGCGGGAGGATGCTTGGAGTAAAAAATCAAATTGGATTGGGTATGTGGCAGTTTGTACAGACGAGAAGGAGATCAATAGACTAGGAAGACGAGATATTCTGGTTGTTTGGAGAGGCACCGTCACGGGATTAGAATGGGCCGCGAATGCACAGTATTTCCTCGTTCCTTGTGCCTTCATAGACGGAGGCAATGATAACGAGTCGACTCCTAAAGTTGAAGCCGGATTTTTAAGCCTGTATACTTCGGCCGACGATTCATCAAGATTTAACAAGATCAGTGCTCGAGAGTATGCTGTGAAAGAAATCGTTAGGTTGATTGAGGAATACAAAGACGACGGCCATGAGCTGAGTATTACGATTTGCGGACACAGCCTTGGTTCAGGACTGGGTCTTCTTTTTGCATACGATGTAGCAAACTCAAAACTGAACCAAATCAGCCAGGAGAGAACTATTCCTATAACGGTGTTTTCCTTCGGAGGTCCTCGCGTTGGTGATGGTGTGTTTAAGCAACGGGTCGAGGACCTTGGAATCAAGGTTCTTCGCGTTGTGAACAAAGGCGACATAGTACCTCACGTGCCCGGGACACACCTTCTTGAGAGCTTTAAAAGTGCGTACCACCACTTAGGAGTAGAATTCCTACTTGACGATCAGCAGTCGTTGCACTTAAACCAATCCAAAGGGCGTCATTTCTCAGTTGAAAATTTGATCGAATTGTCGCTGGAGAGGCAGCTTAGTGCTTTTGCTGTGCATCACAATCTAGAGGTGTATCTGCACTTGATCGATGGGTATGGTAGGTATGACAAGCCACCGACCCGAGACCCTGTGCTCGTCAACAAGGGTTGTGGATTCCTCAAAGAAAACAAGTACGTACCCGAATGCTGGTGGCAGGTCGAGAACAAAGGCTTGAGATACTGCGAATATCAAAACAGGTACTTTCAACCAGAAAGAGCTTATAAAGACCGCCCTGTCCCTCCCGAGCAGGAGGTGGTCGATGCATCGAAGGCTCTTTCGAAATCCCTCTCCCTTCACAACAGCAAGTCGTAGTACCTCATGGGGCAGGCACCCAGCTGTGAAGGGCGTGGGTGGTGGCGCTTTCTGCAGCCTACAGGGGCCCATTGGAAGCTTTGTGGAGGATGGCATGTAGGGGAGGCCTTACAAGGGTGTGAGGCTTGCCAGCACAGGCTTGCTTCCGTCCATGAAGCGGACGATGCAAGTGTGCATGGGTTGGCAGTGGGAGGAATCGACAGAAAGCGGCACAAGCATCGCCGGTTCACTACAGTAATGGATCACAAGTTGATGCTTCAGCACCCCTCCGGTGGCGCCCCACGTCCCTGGCAAGCTGCAGCTGCGAGAAGAAGAGGGCGGCATTGAAGTGAAAGTTGAGCGGTGTTTTAGGGGTGGGAAGCTTTTGCGGAGTGAGAGAGTGCTGGAGAGAAGGACAGACATGAGCCAGGTTGTGAAATAGTCTGGATCACAGCCAGAAGGCAGTGCATTCGTTCTCGTGGTGCTGCCTTTCTGTGTCTGGATTCCATGCCACAATGCTGGGTAGGCGCTGCACACAGTTAGTTAGTAAGTAGGTCATGTGCAGGACATCTTTGGTTACAACACACTGTGAAGTGTGCATCAAACATCTTGTTGAAAGATGCAATGTTAGGATGTGAAGGATAGTGAGATGCTGCTATGTTCAATTTGTGCATCAATATGCATTTGAGATGGTTCAATGGTTCAACTTTGAAGTGTATGTGATGACATTTAAATTTTGTAATCAAAATATTTTGTTGAATGGCACATTTATAAGAATGTTGTCAAAATCCATGTTGTGTAAATTGTTTTGGAAGACTTTATGTAGTAGTAAGTCATCTTGAATTTATCAAGTTTGTTATCAAAAATATTTTTTGCAATAGAATGGAAAGTAAAACTATACATTTCTTAAATGTATGTAGTAAATTTATTATTTGACCTTCTTGATGTAAATTTTCTAGCTTGAATAGTTTGAAAATTGAATTCAAAAATTAAGTATTAGAACATAAAAAACAAGACTAGTATTACTCATTGGTGATTTAAAATTTATGTGTATATTAAATCAAAGAATAACACTTATAATTTAATTTATTACACTAAAATGAGGTAAGATATTTTAAAAATTATGTCAAAACAAAAAACTTAAAATATATATATTTTTCTTGTAATAAAAATATTAAATTATTTGATATTGATTCATTGGATCTAGTTTTGATCTATAATTGTCATTTGAATTATAGTTCAAATTCAATTAAATATTTTTATACTTTCAAAGGATTTTGTGAAATAATAAAAACTAACATTATTTCAAAATTGTCATTTGTGAGAATCCATTGTAGTTGTGAATCAATATGAACAATATGCACAACATAGAAATATTCATAAATATCATAATTTTTACATAATATATATATATATATATATATATATACGTGTGTGTGTATTTCTATATATATAGGAGAATGTTAAATAGACCCATACTTTTACTAAAATATGTCTGAAAGGCCTTCTCCATGACTTTGATCGAGAGTTTCATTTTATTTTTTTCATATTAAGGGCAAAGGAATCAATTGCAAGGTTGATCCATGTGATCAGTATGCTCACAACAATCGTATCCTGCAAGCATGCAGCAGCACCAAGTCAGGGAAGTCAAGCTTGGCTGCAGGATATTGCTATTTTGCAACCTCTAACGAAGAGTTTACAGTCGAATTACGAGCACTCGCATCCGCTCTTATCATGTAAGCATGACGCACAACGCCCCCAAAAGTTGAATATTTTGCATGATTATACAACGAGAGACCCGTTTAGAGGGTAAGGAATTTGGATTTGTGGGGATTTAGCTGAAATGAGATGCATTTGGTGGTCTGCAACTGGGGCGAAGACCACAGTGAGCAAAATATGCGCACGCAGAATCGGGAATGGTATGCAGGATGCACCGACGAAGAAGAAAGAGGATCAACAGTGGACCCTAAATAAGAAGAAAAAAAAAAATGCCATTGCGACGCCAATTTGTCGTAATAGCAAGCTCGCAGCATCGATGTCGGGGTGGAGGGGAGAGTAGTCCATGGCAGTCAACGCCGCATCGCAGCCAGAGCCTGCACTCAATCCCTTGTTTCCGCAGATTCCGACACTGCAGTCCGAAGTCGCTCACGGCGCTAGCATCTTGCTATTTTCAGCGTGCTACATGCTTCAATCGGTCCACGGCACCATTTGACCGTTAGCTGAGATACTTCACCTTCTAGTTCCACACTTTCCTCCCTTTTTCATTTTTCATGTTTCTCCTGCTTGTTTTCTTCTGCAAAATATCAGCGTCCGCTGGCGATGACCCCCCTCATTTCCTCTTTTGGATTCGTATAGCCTTCTTAACACGTACAAAAGTATGTATATTATTCCTCACGGCACCACCGCAGTAACCGTGTCGTGAATCGAGATGAATGGATTCCATGAAACCAGCATGAAAAGTCTAACATGATTGGGAAAGTAACTCAATCAATTGAAAATTTTAAATAGATGGATTCCAGCAACAATAAGGCAAGGCAAAGCTATGAGTGTGATGAAGCTTTTCAGTGGGGTCAGTCCAATTACCTTTACAGAAGTTGAACAAAATATCAAAGCTGACAGAAGTTGACAAGGGACTCTGGAGTCATACCGTCTCATCAATGTCACCCACATGGTTTGACATAAGTGATGAACGCGTCCAATCTCCAACCGAAAGAACAGAGTAGCATTTCCAACTCCATGATGGATGTTACAATCTTAAGGGCAAGAGCGACGTGCGAGCTGACTAACAGAGCTGGATATGCCAGGAAGAAGAAGAGGACAACGAAGATTGAGAGATTCTCAATCTTCTCTATCATGCTTTGCCCACCGGGTGAATTTTACCGAAAGATCTCATAATTTGGGTGAGTCAAAAGGAGAATGATATAAAGAGTATTTTGTTTTGATCATTCTAGGGGCAGGACAGCGACGCTCTGTAAAATACGGAAGCGGCCTGGAGCGTTGCAACGTCGGTAGACGTTTTTTCTGTTCAAGTTTGTAAACAGATACTAAGAATCGATGAAATGTGTATTAGGAGACGATGGCGCTTCCTAGGAGACAAGATTCGGCGAGTTCAAGCAACTTTGAGAAGTACACCAAAACTCTAAAAATTCATATTCTTGCTTGAATTCATTTTGTTTATTGTTCTCTTTTAATAGAGATCTATGAACTGTGTCGATAGTAGTGTAGTGAAAGGTTAGATACTGGAGGTATTTCTACAATGAGAGATACCACTGCATCTGTGTATTCACCGCCTTGTTTGAAGTTGTTCAAAGTAGTAAAGGCCTAGTAATATCCTTCCAAACCTAAACTTTGTCTTATGCTTTTGCCAGATATCTTTGCTCTCATAGATGAAGATGCCCAAGTTATGTCAAGATTGGGCCTCATTGGATTTGCTCCAACCAAACACCCCTTGAGATCTAAACTTCAAGGTTGGATTAACATTAATATCATAGAATCCTCAATGATGGTGTCTCAAATCTGGATGCTCTAACTTGATTACTTTGTACTTACTTTTGTCATTGAATTGGATGAAAAAAATACTTTCATTCAAAGTCTTCTACACTTTGGCAATTACTTATAGTATCTACAACCATGGTGCTTGCAATTTAGTGAGGAAATGCCAAAAGAGATAAAAATCCTAATATGGATCAAATTTTCTAAGTTAAACATTTTTTTACTTTAATTTTTATCAAGCTCTACTTTTCATATGCTCTCAAATTATAAAAGTCATTTAAATGGGATCTTAAGATGATTACTTGAAAGCATCCTCTACTCTTAAGTTATGTATCTTAATTATAAAAGTCAAGTTGATCTCATCATTTATTATACTTTTTATCCTATTCTAAAATAAGAAATTGAAATCAAAGTCAAATACAAAAAGATATTTTCATAATGCAACTTTTGCTTAGAAATTAAATATGACACACACACACACTACCCTTGAAAGCTTCATACAAAATCTAAAAGGTATAATAATAAAAAATCAACAAAGGATTTAGTATATCCACTTTTCAATCAACCAATCTCTATTAATTAAGCATGGACAAGTTAAGATTTAGGAAATGATGAGGCCATAATCCGAGAGTTGAAACTTGTAGCTTCAATAGTGCTTGACTTCTTGATATTATACTTGAGTAACCAATTTTCTACTTTAGATCTTAGCTCTTCCTATGTCTATTATACAATCTAGCTTGAAGAGTGATAAAAAAAATAAAAAAGCTTTGAAAGCCTCCTTTTCTACCAATCTTATTCCTATTATATCACCTCTAAATAAAAAATAATTTATATTATCAAGTTTGTTTAAAGCTCAAGTATGGGAGTTACTAAATATTTTTTTTACCCTCAAAGATGTTGAAAAAAGACTCTATATTTGGCCTATTATTTATATATTTATTTCAAACAAGCAAAATACTATTCAATCATCATGTCTAAAAAAATCAAAGAAACAAGGATCTTTCTTTTCACTAGCAAACTTCAAATAATTAATGGAGTTTAAAAAAATTGTTTGAATTAGCTACAAATAAATTTTCTAAACATATACAATCTAAGGTGGAAGATCTTTTCTTCTTAACGATGATATTTAATACAATGGCTATACTAATAGCAAATGCTTGTTAATAGCAATGTAATCTGACATATTATAGTAAAACTAAAAATCCTTGCAAAAGATGATTCCTTCTACTTTATTAAATTCCAATTTCAATGGATTGATACAGAGAATCTAAAAGTATAGATCCATTTCAATTATGATATGTCTTCTAAAGATTGATATCTTTTTATGATATTAGCATCTCATTAGAATATAGATATGAATTCAATTGATTACAAAAATACTTATGATAGTATGTTCATGAAGATAGAACTACACTCAAAAATTTTCTACATAGAAAATTTTTCTTTGTTTTGAAAGCAAATAAAAAAAAGAGATATAAAAATTGAAGAGTTATTACTACCAAAGCCTTAAGGAATTGCTCCTACTAACTTAGTAGTATTTACCTTGGAGTAAGAAAGATGTCTCTCTATCCCCTCTACTCTTTGATACCAATTTTATACCTTACTAGTATCCATGATAACTTATAACAAACAAAAAATCTTTTGTCTTTATTCACCTTTACAAGCAAGGTTCAGATTAGGAGAGATAAATCTCATACAATCTAGATCTTGCATAAGCCATAGGATTTTACATAAAGAGAGGATGTATACCTTTTTGATTATGAACCAAATTCTTCTTACAATAGTATGATACATTTTTTCATGTTAGAGATCAATTCTTTGATCAATATATAAAATATATATATTTTTAATTATAATTATATTTAGAATAGCAAAGATAGGAATAGATATTATTGGGCAATGGTAGCTTGGGACTTCTTAATCTTTTTTCACAAGCTAAACATACTTAAGTTTATTGATTCAAAAGTGCACATATAAATCACTCATAGCCAAACTCCTCATTGAAGGTTTACTTCTTGGCTTTTTGTCTTCAAAAATACTCTTATTCCATTACTTTAGCCATTGCATGCAAAATATGATAGCTCATGGCTACTTCATGCATTATTCTTTACTTTGCACATTTGAAATCTGATAGGTAGTATGAAAGGTACAAAACCACATTTGATACAATCCCAAATTTTAGCACTATTTTAATGCAAAAATCACAACCACATAAGGTATCTTTTAGAATACCAAATTTTATAATTTACAAGAATATATACTTGGAAATTTGGCATATT